AGGAACTAAAGGAGCACAAATGGAAGCACATTTCCAGGTCATTCTTTGTAAAAGAACTATCAATGTAACAAAATGTCCTGGTAAACCAGAAGGTGCCAGGTATCASCTATAAAATTCTATTTCAACAAAAGCATACAAATATGGTTGAATAGAAAAAAATCTGCTTTCAGCTTTCACAAGAGAAATCTTGATTATACAAAGTCCAAACCCATTTTTGTTTTATCTTTAATTATCTTTAATGATGCTGTGGGCACCAGCAGCATCAGTTTTTAAAAGTAACCCTCAGGTTCTTCAAAAATTAATGGTTGGTAGTTGTAGTCCATCTCCCTTGACTCCCCAAAGACAAAGAATCCCTCTCTCTGATCTCTAATTATTAGGTCAGGAATTCAGTAGGAATTCACAGACAGCCTGAGCAGATGTTACTTAGACAATTAGTGGTGAAATTTAAAGTGATGAGATTTTTGAAATAAAGTCACTATAAAATAAAACCATGACAATATAAATCCCCACTCCACGCTATATGGAAAAGTATGTGCTTAACTAAGACTCTAGGTTTAATTTTGATTTCTAACTCCTTGTAAAACTTAGAACTATAGTCAGAATAAAGGACATTCAGTAAGAACAACTACCTACCTTCAGCAAGTTCATGGGACTTCTTAAAAAAAAAAAATCTGTGAATTCACTCACGGGAGGAAAGATTTTGTGACAGAGAATTACACACAAATTAGGCTGAAGAGAATGTGGCTGGGGAGGTCATGAAGTCTGCTCCTGCACAAAGCAGCTCTGGCTCATACTTCTTTGAGTATTTAAAAGCACAAAGACTCTGCAACTCACTTGAGCGAACGGTTTCAACATTTGACCATTCTTATAGCAAAGAGCGGGGGGGGGAATTAAAAAAAAAATTGTATAGGTGACTGGAATTTCCCATGTTCSAACTTGTACCCAAGCTTAACTGCGACACAGAATCAAATGCTCTGTCAAGGTCAGCTAAAGGCCCTGACTGCTGCAACTCCAAAAAGAATCTGGCTCCATCTTACCACATAATTGCAGTCCTTGCCATCAAAATTTAATATCATGTCTACCTCTTAAATACAGCCATCTTCATGTTATCTTGAAATGAAATTCATGTGAGAAAGCAGGGCTACAGAATAATCTCCATGTTCACAGAATACAGGAGTACTTGTTAGAGGACAATTAGCTACAGGTTTAATTTGTACCACAGAAGCTTTAGATGACATGTTAAGAAAAAACCTTTTTAATTACAAGGTCTAGGAAATTGGYAGAACAGTTGTCTGGTGAGGTTACAGAGATCTTAAGAGATCTCCATCCCTGGAGGTCTCTGAGAACAAGTCAGACAAACTTTTATCAGGTATGACATAGATAGATCTCACCTTAGGGCAGAGGAGCAGACTAGATAATCTTTGCTGTACTTTCTGCCCCGAATTTTCTATGAAGGTTGAGACTGTCTCAAGTTAATTCAGGCTTGAGCCTATGGGCCAAATGATAGAATATTTGATGCTACTGAAATACTAAAATCTAAATTATACATTTGGTATATCAAATTTGCACTTACTTTTTTGAGCTTTTGGGTTTGCCTGACAGAGCCCACATGGTGGTTCCTGTGCTCAGATGCTCAAGAATTCCTTCCTGATGGGTTRAGGAAGAATATGCAATTTCCTCCATGCTAGAGAAAGGAGGGAAGATGGGCAGGGAACTGAATTTGCCATTTGTCATGGCATTGCCTTCAGGTGGATGAAAACCTCAGAGACGCCAAGCTCTAACTGGACATTCTCCAGCATGTGGCTTGCTACAGGAGCTGTGCCAGTTTATCTGGCAGCTGYTCCACACAGTCCAACTCGTATCCCAGTTGTAAATCTCTGTTTTAAGGGCATCTCCAAAAGCAGGTGAAAACACACTTTTGCAGGGARCACTGTTGCAATATTCCCTTTGAAAACAAAGTCCCCGTAGCGCTAAAAGTGAGGTTAATGATATACTAAAATGTACTGGACACTMTGTAATGCAGATACTTAGTACACTAAACATGAAGTCCAAGAACTGTTTACATCCACACAGCCATCTGTTCAACAGTCACAGTACTCAAACAGAGCATTCACTCCAAAAGGGCACCCTTTACAATCCTAATTCAAAGAAACAGAAGCAAAACAAAATCTGTAAATAAATATTGGGAGGGGATGTGTACTTTCTGCAATCAATTGACAGAGCAAATATATTTCAGTAGTATTTTCTTGAAAGTGACAACTGATAAAGTCCCCCAGCACAGAAAAATTTGGCTTAATATTTTCAAAAGGTGCATATTAAAACATCTTTTCCTCCCTTTATGAGCTAAATATTTCATTGTAGGGAAGAAATAACAGGGGTAAAGTACAGAGCTGATGTCTAAAGWGCTCAGGAGTCAAAGAGCTACCACAGCTCGGCACAATTCCCAGCTACACTCGCCCAGTCAGTTATAATTTAGACATTCAACCTTTGCTGCTAAATCAGAGACTTACAGCTCCTCTGCTATTTCGCCCCTGGCCTCCTGCTGAGATGGCCAATGAATATACAAAATCACAGCATGTAAGTCTATCAGAAATATGATGGCTCATTAACTTGGTGACAGCTAACACAGACACAACATGGTTTCACTTTTAGTCACCATCCACCTGAAATGCCGAGGGAAAAGCACGGTACAGAGACACGGGCACACATGGAAACCGGCCCAAAATTGATGCTTGTATAGATTTACATATGCTTCATAAAGTACACTTTCCACAACAACTTCTTTTTTTTTCAGCCCATAATAACCTTGATGATTCAATGAAAAAAGTTGAAGCAKCTTTTAATACCACAAATMATACATTTCATAGAATCAYAGAACCATTTAGGCTGGAAAAGACTCTTAAGGTTATCCTAGCACTGCCAAGATTACAGATAAGACAGTTTCAGTKCTCTCCGACTGCTCAGCTGCAGTCTGGGGATCTTTGCAGGAGACAGCTTACTTTGCCCAATATGGTGTTACCAAATTGCAAGTGTGCATTGGAGAAAGCAGTGAGAGGAAAAAATAGAAAAAAATTTTCCTCAGAAAATGAAGGGGTGGCGAGAGCAACAGAAAATACTTTCTCCATCTCCTCTGAATAAGCTTTTACTATCTAGTTGTAAYTTCAGTGCACACAAGATAAAAAATTCGACTGCTGAAAGCACTCACTACTATGCATATGAAACTGTTCAAGTGTATCACAGGTTTTTGATCAGCTTAAGAAAGAGGAAAGTTAGACAGGAAGTTCTCAGTACAGCTGAAGAGCCAGCACATTCTAGTACTGTGAAAACCACACCTTCTTGCTAAAGCCTATAAAAACACCAGGTATTATTTCAAAGAGAATGTAATGCTTTTATACTTTTAAACATAGGTTTAAAACAACATAATTAACTAAAAAGTTATGGCAAGACAAAGAGGAGATCAGATACTWGGAACAAAACTTTACAGCACTAATTTTGACCCCAACTTTTAGTATAGTATTATAAAAACACAAGCTCTGAGTAAAAGACTTTATTGAAACAAATTTTGATTCAGCAGGAAAGATTCTGAACTGTGGCTTTTGCAAATTAAAAAAAAAAAAAGATTCAGTTTTTGGCAAGAGAGAAATACTCTTTGGTAACTTAAATTTGGTATGCTTGCTTGGCTCCATCTACACATCCTGCTTTTTCCTTGAGATCTGGACCTATTTGTACTTCCTTTTAATCAATTCCTAGTGCTTAAGTCATGTGCACATATGCTAAATGTTTCCCCTTCCTCAGGCCAAACCCTCCTCTAAAGGAAAACCTGGTTTGGAATCTTTCACTGATCTGACACAGCAAAATGATTTATGGTAATAGGAAGGCATGCAGTGGCATTTTCCAGGAGCTCTGAACTGACAGAGTTGGCTTGAGTCCACAGGGCTTTTGAACMAATATTGTTTTCCACCTTGCTGTAGACAAACTACGGAATTGTTRTGGAGCAAATAACCCTGCTGGGGTCATTGTAAAGGCAACTGCGATGTCTGCAGCTTCAGTGAAGCCCAAAAAAATGGTCCCTAGATACTGAAGTTACAACTACACAAGGACTGTGGACCATAYAGAAGATAAGCACTTCCTTCTCCATACACCACCAGTGCTCAATAAACGCAACGTGGGAGAGAAATCTCTGATTCAGTGTCTTAAGAAGCTTACAAATAAATCTGGCAGACTTGCAAGACCCCTTTTGGGGATACAGTCACCATATTATCTGCACTGAACTAAAACAACTTCGAAAAGGAACAAAAAAGTCAAGCAAAATTGCTCAGTGGCTGGATCACTAGAACAGCTCCAAGCAGGGCAAGATGTGACAGCAGCAAAGACAGCTGTTATCACCAGTCCTGTACATAATTATTTATGATATTTGGCTGAATCTAAACACAACTGTAGAGGTGTGTCAAGTGCCATAGGAGAAAGCCCTGATCACAGAGAAACATGTCCTTTTCTTGCAGCACAACGCTTACAGGACAAGACAAGCATGATTAACACGGGGAACTGGTGAGGAGCAGCCAATGTACATACGAATTCCAGCAGAAAGATCTCACAGTGCTTTGGCTGGCAACCAGCAGACCTTCAGGCAAGCAAAGACTTGCTGGTTAGATATTTGCAAATGAGATAGAAATGGAGCTTTATAGGAATGCCTGAAAACATGGTTTGATAAAAATATTGGTTTTYTTCACTGCCTAACTGCATGAGGAATGAGAACTGAAGTCCCTCTTCTTTTATGTAAGTAAACACATGAATTTTATTATGAGAATGATAAGCACAGTTACTCTGTCTTCAGCATGTATATTAGAACCCTAGCATAGAGGACCCTAACCCAAAATAATGGCAATCAGGTGCCACATCGCAATGCAGGAATATGCCCAACATCAGAACTCTTAACGAATAATCACAAGGAGAGGTGGCAGGTTTTACCTAAAATAAACACTAGTCAATAAATGACTTACCTTAAAAAGTGCAGGCRGAGCTGTGCTTTCCTTTTGGCTGCTCTTTAAATTTATGGCTTCACTCCGTTTGTTTTCAGAACTGAAAACCAAAAATATTTTGTAACATTGAGTACTTGTATTATTCAAATTCACTCAAGAGCCAACACATTCTAAACACAAGAGAGCTTYAACTTAGAAGAACATATTTTCCAAACTGTAGTACATATTCTGCACATATTGTAACTAAAAAACCAAGTCCCAATAAGCTGAAGATAGAACCAAAATGATTGTTTCTTCTCATGCAGAAGTTTTCAAACTCAAGCATTCAGAAACAGCACAAACATTTCAGCTCTTCCAGGTGAAAAGAAAACAGGATTGCCATGCAGATGTATCATTTTTCAGCTTGAGTTGAACACTGATCCACTACAGCAGCATTCCTTGCCACAGGACCACCTGGCAGCTACAAGGTACACCCCATTCTGAAGGCTGTGAGCAAGTGGAATGTGCTCCTGGCAGGTGGAATCATCACAAATCACAGCCACTGCACTGAACAGTTCTTCACTGAACATCCCAAATGGGCCCTGCAAATGCAGCAGGAATTTTAGAAAGGGGACAACAGGCATGTGTTTATTACCAAGGCCACGCCTGCTTGTTCCATTTTAAAAGTCAGAAGTCCAAAATCATGTGTGTCCTTACTACAAATTCACCAATTTAATTTAATTTAATTCAAATTTTCTTGAGAGCTCATCTTTGGAATTAAGGAAACAACTCCCTGCCCCCAACCCCAATTTTTAAAACAATCCAGGAGAGAACATTTTAATAAAAACCTTTATCTACATGGAGCTTAAAAGCAAATAGATGATGTTGAAGACAGACATCAGCTCCTGCATTGTGCATGAAAACATAAAGGAAAATAACTTTGTACCAACATAYCATATGAGTACGTATTCCAGCTAATTCATAATCACTTTGAATACCCTTCTTCATCAGTCTTAAACATTTAACTTTGCTATTGACAAATGCACAAGCCCTTATTTCTGAATTGGTGTGAGGAGATGAACTAAAAGTTTTTTTTAAATAAAAAGCAAATTATTTGCATTTTGGTGGAATTCTGCAAGGATTTGGAGAAAGACTTTAGATGCTGCTGTACTCCTAGTGCTCCTGAGTGTAAAGCAGAGGTAAGCTCAGTAAGACTCCCAAAAGGAAAAGTTTTCCTCCTGTTGTGGGTTAGGCATCTACATTCAATCTACATTCAATATACATTGATATACATGTGATATACACACAAAATACAAAAGCCACTGTGACTAGAGTATAAGTTTCCTTCTCAGATGCTCAGAGAGCATATACCCTAAATGAGAACAGAATTCTCCTACAATTAAGTTTATCAAGATCTTTTGCATATTTTCAGATGCATCAAAAGAAAAGCTTCTTCCTCCCATTTATAGATTGTCTCCAAGTMAAAAACCATGTACTTTCACATCACCTTAGGTAATCTTTCATAATGCATTCATAAACACAAAGAAGCTTTTTCAGGGAGAGCATCAGACAGAAAGTCTTGGCTGCTCTTTATCTCCCTGGAAGATGGAGCAGATGAATTAATATTCTAACCTATTAATTTCTTCTGCTGCTAATGTGCTTCATGAAGGAGATGTCACAATCACTCTGGGCAGTCTGGCACACGAATAATATTCTCTGCACATAACCTATTTTCTCCCTCCTAGTTTTTTGTTTTGTTGTTGGCTTACAAAAAGTAAACCAAAAAMCAAAACATCCTTCTCAGATCTGCATGGCTCTTCCTGATTGACATGAACAAGAATCCCCTGCACTTAGGAGTGGAATAATGAGGTTCTGATCTCTACCAGGCATTCTTCCTGACTTCAGTGTATCACTCTTTAAGGAACTGGTCTGCAGACCACAAATGAGATCCTTGCTTTCATTAAGTATTGCCAGCACACATTACCAGTGCTGAATTATTTCATCACTTTGTTTTGCTCATATTCTTCCCTTTATATCATGTGTTTCTTTTCCCCAAACTTCTTTTCATTTTCCTATTTCTTGTTTATATCTCAAATACATGTCTGYGTTACTTTCTTCTTCTATGCCATAGCATACATAACAAAACTGAAAGAATGCGATTCAGCAGATAAGCATCTTAAAATCAACAAGTTTAAAAAAAAGTATCAAGACTTTACTTTCCAACATAAAATAATCCTGSAAGCATTTCCCCACACCCTTCCATGGTTTATATTCTAGCATCTCTACATTCCTTAAGCTTTTGCTTTAGGGTGTAGTTCCTCAAACATGCTGACTTTGTCAGCAGAACCAGCTTTAGAAATTTCCACTCCTTCCTCCTCAAGCTCAGTTATCACTCCGTATCCTTAACTCAGCCTCAGTTAGTTGGCTACTGAAGGGCTCTCAGTAGCGCCACAGTTTTGGATAAAATCAAGGCGGGGAGGGAGCAGAAGTTTSCATGAGGAAAAATCCAGCCTGTGATCCAGTTCACAGCGCTGTGATTTGTAACAGCACAAACGAAAGAACAACAAATGCCACTGGACAGCAGGAGCCAGAAGCAGGGACCACTGCAGCTCCCAGCACCACAGGGGCTCCTTGGTGCGAACCTCCTCTCCCCTTAGCCAGGGCCCAGCTCTAAATGGATCCCGGGCTCACATCAAGTGGTTTGAGTTTTATAGCCCAAAAGCTCTAAGTTTACAGCACAAAAGCTTCTTTGCTGCACAAAGACCTCGTGGGTTGTTTAGGATAAAATTGCTTTGTTTCTCTCAAAGAGTCAAGGTTACCTTCTACAGCCTGAACACCACAGACACAGGAGCAGGGACAAACYCAGCCCCTGGGACTGGAGAATGGGCTGGCTGCTGTTCATGTGATTCACATGCTGCAATTTAGCAATCCCCACTAACAACTCCCCAGGAATTGTAGGGCATTCCCTCTTCCCATCATTGCATCAATCACATCACTGTGAACGAGGGCTACGTCTGTGTTTGTAAAGAGTGGCTCCATCGAGTTTCCTCCTTGCTTTGAGCTTTTCCAGAACAGTACCTGTCTGGAGCACTTTGCCACAGCAGGTACCAGTTTGGCACRTCTAAAGGTAGGTTTGTGCTCCACCACCCACAGAACAGGTCAGCAATCTCTCAGGAGAGCATTTCACACTGATCCAATCAGAAAAATGAAGGAGTCTTCAATTCTAAGCTTCACAAACTACTGGTATTACATTATAYAACCAGAAACAGGCCTTAGTAACCCAAGTTTTGAACCTTCTTTGCTTTTAAGAAATAAAAGAGCAAAGCATGATTTTAGGAAGACAGAAAACACCTCTGCCATGCCAACTTGCTTCCATGGCCTTCTTATCTATCCAGGCAGACATTTACAARTTGTCATAGCCATTTGTCACCATAMATTTAGACAGACATTACTCTCATTTTATAGAGTTAAAGTAGAGGGGAAAMAGGCATGGAAACACTAAATAACACTCARAGTAATAAAGACACTGTCACAATTAAGGCTAGAAACCCAAGCCTCTCAGATATGTAATCTGCTGTCCTTCTGCTGCTATTTCTGGTAGACATTGCTTTTTCTCTTGTGTATTAGTGCATCCAACATAGATGGATTAATCTTTAGCGAAGGTTTAGAGGAAGGTTAGAGGGATTTCTTCTCCTCAGCTGTCTTGCTGCTCTTTCTACTGTCTTGCCAGCATGCCTAACCTGATTAGCATCACTCTTATTCTTTAAATAATCAAGATTAAACTTAAGTTACAGAATGGTATCTTTTGTATCTTCTGAACAAACCTTCTTTGTGCCATTTTCTATTGCTTTTTGTTCCTCTGCTGCTGCTCTGTTTTGACCTTTCTGTAATACTTGGACAGGTGGTGTGTGAACCAGAAACAGGTTTGTAGTCCAAGTTTTTAATCATTACACTTTGGAAGGAGAGGTTAAAGATTCTTATGAGGGAGACATGCTCCATTCTGCATTGTTGCTTACACAAAAAAGAGATTACATGAAGGATTACAGTTAAGAAAAAAAGAAGCAATTTAATGGAGCATATTTAAGTACATGGCTTTCAAGATCTTTTCCAACTGCCTCTAAAAACAGAACAAGACAATTACAAGCAATCACATCTTCAAAAGGCTCTCACAGCATCTCTGTATGGTGTGAGAAGTCTGCTTCCTCCATCCGTGTCCTTCGAAACAATCCCTCAGAACTTGCAAATTAAACGCCCATCCCCTTCTTCCTTTATTAATTCACCCCACCCATGYTATGCATGCAGCAGATTGTGAATGTGTTGTGACAGATAAATAATAAGCTACAGGACACATACAAGTGTAATAAAGCACACAGAAGTTTTGCTGAGACTGACCACATGCAGAGCTCTTCAAAATGAAAGCAAGCGCTGACATTTTAGGTTCCTTTTTATGARGAGAAGGCACGGACTGCCTGCTGCTGTTTGGGAAGGGGGAAATTAATGGGCACTCCCTTAAGGAAATGGGACCAGCTGACTAAAGCTGAACTTGGACAGCACTAGGACAGCACTGGAGGATGTTGACCCTCCCTACTTCCACCATGGCTTTGAATCAAATCTCTTGCAGTGCAGCAGCTCGAACACTTACTTCCCATGTAATCAGACAGGTGAGTGCTCCAGCATTCTGCAATCTTCTCTCTCTCAGGGACAGAGGACTCCCTAAGTAGCCAAACCCTCCCTGCTACCACCTGAGGCTGGCAATGTTTTTTTTTTTTCCAGCTGGTCTGCTCCTCAGACTAACTCAGAAACCATTTAATGTGATGACTCATAGTGGTAAGAGAATAAGCAATGCCAAACCTCAAAGATGCTCCAGGGTGCCAAGAAGCAAAAAACATTCACACCTGGCTTTAGGGACACAAAGGTAGCAGACTTTGCCTGACCTATACACACAGCCATCTATCCAGGCCCCATGACAACCCTTGTGACATCTCCTTCCCCTTATTTTGTAAACATTTTTCCTGAAGATATGTTTTTGGGATCGCTRTAATTCACTCTTAACCTCACCCCAAATTAATGCCTTTTTTAGGTTTACTTTCTTACTACTTTATTTCAGCATTCTGGGGTGTA